TGTTTTGATCTCTCATCTTCATGTCATGGGATGCATGAATGTTTTCGATAAAAAGATGCTCATGTCAAGGAGGGGATCGAATGCACCGCCGATAAGCACCTGCACATCACGAAGCAAGAGCACGTCCCCATTGGAACATCGTCGGGTCCTTGCGTTGTCGACCCCCACGTGATGACTACACTAAACCGCGGCAGGATGACCGGTCCGCCTCTCCGATGTGGACCTAACGGTGGATTGCGTGCTCTCGAAGATCCATACCGGGGATGGGGGCCGGCATCCGACCAATGTTTGCTTGTAAGGCATCATATGATGTGTCGATACAACCGACATCCAGAACTGCTTGGTGAGCATCTAGTGCTACGCCAATAAGTTCCAAACACGGTCGCAAAGTTCCCTAAGAGTGTTCATTGTCGGTTCTTCACGTTGTCGACTCCCGCGTGATGACTATAGTAAACAGCGGCAGGATGAAAGATCCCCCTCTCCGACATGGATCTAATGGTGGATTGCATCAAATATGTTCTCAAAGATCCACACCGGGTAGAAGTCGTGCAATAAACCACTGCTTGCTTATAAGCATCACATGATGTGTCGATACAATCGACATCCAGAACTGTTTGGTGAGCATCTAGTCCTACGCCAATAATTTCTGAACAAGACCGCAAGGTCCCCCAACCATGCTTTTAACACTCGAGAGCTCCGACCGCCGACTGTTTGGCACTTCGTGAAGGTGGTAATTTCTACCCGACGCAGAAGGTTCGTGATCACTTCCATTGCTTGTATAAGTGTCGATGGATGTTCGGCGTTGCATACATGTAGTACTGTTGGCCCCCTTTGGATACATCAGCGTCTCGGATGCATCCCACATAAGGACCTCACATGCTGAGGACATGCAAATACTATGGTGCTAGGTGTCTCGGATTCATCCGAATTTTCAATCTGAGAAGTGTCTGCGCACCGACCATTTCGAGCGAAAATTTTATGAAAGGTGTCGAGCAAGGTTTCCCGTTCGGTCCAACGCCAGCTATACCACTTCAAATGTCATGTTCCTCTCCACCCTCTTTCGACCCGGTGTTGTTTTCGTTGCATTGGCCAATTTCGTGGTTCTCAATAAGTCGACACATCTCTTTCGCTTCTTCATTGGCAAAATCTAACAACTGCCTCGGCTCTGATTTATGTCACCGTCTGTTGTTCTGCCTCGACACATAGTATAATGCTGTCAAGAACGTAGTATGAGGCAGCACCGATTATCAGCGAGGGTAGAAAACATAGTGTGAGGCAGCACCGATCCTCGTATAATGCTATCAAGAACCTTCAAACTTTGAAGCGTACTTGTTGAAACAAAATTTCCCCTGTGTGTTCCACATGTTGTGGCGTGCACTACACAACATTGAGCAACGCACACATGGAGTAATAAGAAACAAAGTTCTAAGGATCTCTCATGCATGGTTTGACCGCTAGTCACAGTTCGTGGATATGTCCCCTTCTCTGGGGCGGAAGTGAAGGACACTCCTCAATGGTTATGGCATGCTCTTTCTTTCTGATCTCGACATCAACCCTAAATGCCTTTAATATTTCCTTGTTTTTTATCATGAACCCAAGGACTTTCTGCAATATGTGTGTCGGATAATTCGAGGACCTCCACTTGCGAGTTGACCTTACCTCTATAAATTAAAAAAAAAAAAAAAAAAACAATGAACACACTTTTTCCTACACGAGTCCGACAAAAGTGACAATGGAAAAAAATAAAACAACATGTGTGTCCATTTAACGGCCAACGGGATTTTTTCGACGTCGTTGTACCCATTGAATAGCCCCGGGGCCCCCGTTGAAACCCCGTTGAACGATTCAACGGGGCCTTCCCGTTGAACAAAGTTCAAGGAGCTGAGCGCAACAGTCGTCGAGCCTGCGACGCTGCAGGCGAAGTAAAAAAAAAACGAAACTCGACACCTGACTCCCCCGTTGTAACCCCGTTGAATTCAACGTCGTTGAATGGCTGTTAAATCCCTGTTGGATCCCCGTTGAACGACATGGCCGTTCCGTTGGAAATCGAACGACGGGGGGCGGGCTCTCGACTGCGGCAACATTGCAGTACACACCGGGAATGCTAAAGGTTGAAAAAAAAAAAAAAAAAAAACACTTCGCGACCTCTATTTTCCGGCCGACCCAACCACGTGCACCGCCACCACCAAACCCACCCTTCCGGCCCAGACAGCCTACCCCCGCCCTGGCGAAGCAACCCCCGCCTCACTAAGCCCCAGAGTCCCAACGCAAGCCCCCACCACTCCGCAGCCCCTACCCCAGCATACAC